CGCCTTCCCCTGCGCTCTGAGGGTGATGCAAGAGCGGGCAGGCCCTGCCCTGCGGTCGCGGGGCGAGCTCCCCCTCTCCGGGCACGGAGCAGCTCGTCCTCCCCGGGCAGCTGCTTTCCGGGCATGCTTAGAAAAATTAATTGGCTTCCTAATTAGCGTCTTAACCGACTCGCTCAGTGGCAGCTCACGTGGTGCCTCTTTTGTGAGCCAGGGTTGTGTTGGAGCTGTGGTGGGTTGTAGGTTGTTTTGATGTTTAGGTCAATAGGCGTGTACCGAGACCTAAGTTCATTCGTCTGACTCTCCCCTTCCAGAGTCCGATGTGCCGGCGGAGCTGCGAGTTGCAAACGGGTCGCAAAAGTTCGTGAAGTTCACTTCGACCATCCAAAACCAGCTGCTGCTTGTGTCGCTGCTGGAGCATCTCTGCCACATGTACACGCACAACCCCGTCCATTCGAGGTGTTTGTTCCGAAGTTAGTAAGAGTAGTTCCTTCCTGTCTCTTAAACTGCCTTACAGCAATATCCTTCTGTGCAGAATTGCAGTGTTATATCAGTACAAAGCTGTAGGTTTCATCCCGTTGGGACAAGAGTAATTCTGTGAAGAGGATGAATAGCCTGAATCAATTTAATTGGGAATGACAACTTGTCTTATTTTGAAAACAGTAACAGAATATTGCTGCAGATGTAAGGATCAGACAGTTGTAAGAATCACGTGAGTTGCATCATGAGAAGGGCAGCAGTGTAAATTATGTAACTGTTAAATGTGATCTAAAAACAGAGGTAGAAAAGGAGTTTAATAAAAATATTTATAAATAATTAGCTGTAGCATAGTCTTCAGTAAATTTTTCAGAATTGTATTCTGGGAAAATCCTTTATTTTGCTGTAAACTCTTTTTCATTCAGGGAGGCATCTTTAAGTGTGAAGTGTTACTTTTAAAACCTGTCTTCTTGGTGTTTGAATTACCTGGAGTGTTTTGTTCATTTAGGCATAGACTTAATGCATTTGAGAAACAATATCTAAGGTTTTTCTCATTACTGTACATGACTGTAGAAAATAAAATCTCATCGTTCATAGTTGAAATGGAAGCCATTTATAACATCCAGTAACAACAGTGCAGACAACTGTAGGGTTTTTTTGTTCTTGAAGTCTGATGTAGATGTTTGGCCCTGGGTCTTAGTATTTACCAAACAAAAAGATATCTGGGAAAGAAACCCTACCAAAATTCCTCCTTTTGTGAGAGGAACAATAAAAAACAACCTGGGCATCTTCTAAAGTGTGTAGCTGCCTATGTGTACTTACATATGGAAAATTACATTCCTCCATTGGTACAATTTAAACCTATTTCCCAGGTAGTTTAAATTCTATGAATAAGAGAAACCCATACTCCAGCAGTTGTATCTGGTTTGTGGTTTTGCCTGGTGTATTCATGTTCTCGTGGGTGGGATTTTCCCACTTCTCTAGTGTGTGTGACTGTCTCAGTAAGGCTTGTGTAGCAAAATTCCTGATTTCTTGCAGGTTCACTTCCCATACACTTTATCTCCTTTAAAAGATCAAATAATACAAATAATAGGCTGATTTGTGAAATATTGGTACCAAAGAAACACCTGAAAAAACTCTTATGAGCAGGCTTGTTTTAAGATCTTGGAAGTCCTAAAACTTTAACTACCTTTTTGTAGCATCTCTGCAGTTGCACCCATCTCCAGCATATGTTAGGGTTTTTTGTCTGTCACAGTTGTTTTACCCCAGCTTAGAAAGATGAGGTGCTTGAGGTGGTGGTAGAAGGGAGTGACTTCATTCTTTATTATGAGGGTGTGCACACGTCTGTGGGTTTGGATGGGAATCAGAAAATCTTGACGTTACCACTTTTGATTATAAATGAGTCATTTTAATTGATGAACCTGCTTTGAATTTTTTCTTTTCACTGATAAAAATTAGTCCAAAAGTAAAATGTAAGTGAAGGGGTGGATGTTTGTATAATTCATCAGCTGAAATGAGGAAGAAAACGAGATGCAGTTATGACCCTGAAGGGCTTGGCAAATGCAAAGGAATTCCCAGAGAGCAGCTCGACTTTGGATTTAATTAGTTTTTATTGCAAAGAGTACGGAACCAGCATTAGAGTAGGAGGGACCGTTCAGTTTTTCAGATGTGTTACCTTTCCAATAAAGTTTCTCATTTACATGGTCTTATTGGCAGGCTTTATTTAATGTGTCTCTGACCTTTCTCTGTTCCTTTGTGCAGTACTTCGGCAGGCTTTCACAAGAACAGGGCTGCTCTCTCCTTTTGCCTTCTGTGATGAATTTAGTACTGTAAGACTGCAGCACAATAGAGCCATTACTGAGCTGATGAAAGCAGCTAATCAACAAATACTTAATGGGGTAAGCTTTGTTACCCGTCTTTGGCAACCTCTGCATTAAGGAGCTTTTGTTTGGGGGTTCTTTTAATAATGGATTGGGTCGTTTTAGTAATTACACGGAGTATTTTGGGATGGCATGTTCTGGTTCTGTTGGTGCAAACCAAAGTTTTTGAAGTCAGCAATATTTTGTACCCTTAAAAAAGTAGTTAAAATGTTTATAAGCACAGGCAAGGTGTTTCTAAGTATCGCTACAGCTTTTTTTTGACAACGGACAGACATCCATTTTCAACTTTAAACTGTTGGTTTTGTTAACACCCTTGTATTTACATTAGTGGAGGGCATAATTTGTGTACTGTCCTTCAGGCTGAATCAGACCAGTTTGCTTCTCTGGCTGCTCGACCTAAGCTAGTTAATTTTGTCTTAAGCACATTTTAGAGCCCTCATTTTATCCTGTTTGCCAGCAGAACTCTGAGAGGGCAGTAATCTCTCTAGCAGAGAGATGTTAACAGATTACCAGTGGGATAATAATACTTTAATTTGGTGAAGCTTTCTCTGCAGCATGTGAATGGCTGTCAGTAACCTCATTTTCTTGTAAGAACATGGTTGTAGTTTCTGTTTTGATTAAGCTGTCTGTGCTGGTGGCACAATAGATCTGTTATTCTTTCTGTATGGCACATCTTCATGTTGGATTTTGTTGTTTTGTAGGAACTGGATAACAGAGAGCTTCATGCAATTGGGTATGTATTCAAAGCATGTAGAAATACTAAACTCCCTCCCTAAAGTTCTGTGTTCTGCTCTGAATTTAATTAATACTGCATTTCATATTTTGGCTCTGAAACATAGGAAAAAAAAGTAAAAATCTCTCCAAATTTTCAAAATTATCTGATGAAAATTCCTCCTTCAGTACAACTCTTACATTTGGTGCCACCATTCAGGAAAACAAGATTTATCAGGCCTAAATGTAAAACATTCTGAATACTTCTGTTAACACAGAAGGTGAGTTTGTAGCACATGTGCACACTCTTGCAGTCTGCTGGTTTTCAGTATTCTCTGAAACAGTGACTGGTACAGAATGATAATGTCAGTTTTCATAATTGTGTAGTATTTCTAGAATGTGTACACCTTTACCTTGCTTACAAGTTGTAATTTAGTTTAATGCAGCCTAACTTTTTCTGATTAGGGAAAAAGAAGTTCACTTTGAAGCACAGACTTCACGATACTTGAATGAATTTGATGAGGTTGCAAGGCTGGGAAAAGGAGGATATGGCAAAGTATACAAGGTATTCTTTACCTCCCATTTATAACTGATCTGTTTATATCTAGTTTCAGTTTGGAATTTAGAGTTACTGTTTTGGCTGTAGTGGTTTTTTTGAATAGAAGAGTTGCAAATCTGCACCTTGGAAGGAAGTTGGTGTTTCCTTTCAAAAGATGCTCAGTTGTGGTTAGTTTTCAGTTTGTCAGAAGCAGGATATATCAGATGTTTTACTGTGTGTATTCTGACTCTTTAAAAGTGAATGAAAGCTCCTTATTTCACATGTGAAATATTGTGATATATTAACTTTAAACAGCCTCAGGAACTGATTAGTCTGCACACCCCAATGCTTCAGTTGTGGCTGCTTGAAAAAAATCAGCTTAAAATGAGCGTAAACTGTCCAACCCAGTGTTGAAGTGTATTAAATATTTGTAGTATATGGCCAGCCTGAGGTTCCCCATGTGGTACATGCCATATGTAAAGGACAGTTGTGTCCTGATAGCTGTTTAAGCACCTATCAGGACCTGTCAGTATTTTTTAATTAATGGAAAGATAGCTGCAAGGGTATGTATTTCACAAAGGTTGGATTAGATGTTTGCAGTCCTCAAAGAAGACAACAGTACAGTATCCTTATCTTACCCAGCTGGGACCTAAACCCAGTTTCATTCTCTGATAGAAGTGAGCCTCCCTATCAACGGAGTGCAGAAATTAATTTTTAGAAAGTAGTAGGTTATAAAGGATTTAATTAATTAATCTAAACGTGTTAACATCTAATTTTGTTCTATTGCAATTGTATTTCAGGTCAAAAACAAGTTAGATGGTCAGTTCTATGCTATTAAAAAAATTAAAATTAAGAAGGCTACAAGAAGAGATTGCATGAAGGTATTCTTCTTTCTGTGTTTTGTCCCTGTTGTAACTCCTTGTTGGTTGTAGCTTGTTCTGATGTAATTTATTCATGCAGTTAGTATTTCCCAAAACATTAAAAATGTTAATACAATTTTTATGCATTCTGGGTTTCTAAAGGTTTGACCGTGTTCAATGCCTACTTAAAAAATTAAATGAGATGTATTTAAGTCCATTAAAAGAAGCATATTAATTACTTTAATTTGATCATCTTTGCGACCACGAAAATCACAGTTCATTTTAAAGCTTCCAGATATTCTCTGTTACTGTAATAATTTTATCTGTTCTTTCTCTGTGAGAAACTGTTATTTTTTTTGTTATCTTTGCACTCAGATCTTTGTTATCTAAGCACTCAGAATTGTCACACTGGGGGTTCTTATGGTCTTTTTAGGTGCTACGAGAAGTTAAAGTGCTGGCTGGGCTGCAGCATCCCAATATTGTAGGCTACCACACTGCTTGGATGGAACAAGTCCAAACAGTACATCCAAAAGGAAAGTACAGCATATTGTGTTATTCTTGCTTGCATCTTACAACTTCTGTGCTGTTATTTGCAGGAGAGCATGCCTTGTCTGATAAAATAACTATTTTTCCCCCTCATTAAAACAACCATAAGAAAGGAAAATTAGAGGTGATCAGTCACCAGGTCCATCTATGCACTTCAGTCCCTCCTTACCCAATAGCATATTTGTTGCTTAATGGTGAATTTGGAACTGTGGAAGTATTAGCTTGACTTCTGGTAATATATGAGGAGGATTTTAAAGCTGTGTGAAGTTCAGTGCAATGCCATTGCATTAATTTCCATTAAACCTTTTAAGGCAAGAAGTAGTGAGTTGACAGGTGAATGGATACTGGGCAATGAGCCACTTCAGATATTGGGGGGAGAGTGATGAATAGGGGAAAAAAAAATCACAAATGTTTTGAAGCTACCATGTTTTGAAGCTGCAGAGTTGTAGCAAAACTAGAATAAGTCTCCCTCTATGCTTCTCTTGCTATCTGGAAAAAAACCCCCCAAACTCCTACTTCGCTTTCCACATAAGAGTTTTTAAATTTGATGAATTGTGTTTCACTGACAGAGCAACCAGATCTTTTTGTGTATCAGCTCCTGTCTGTAACTGTTGAGAATTTACCTACTTTTGTGTTCATTTTGCACCTTCTCGGTCTCCTTTTTCTTCTCTTCAGTTTCTTTGTTCTCAGCTCTCCACATTCCATCCTTTAGTCCCTTTGCAGCCCTAATCCATTGGTCCCTTTCTTGTCCTTTCCCTGAATGCCTTGAGCAGTTAAATCTTTGATCCTCTCTTACTGGGAGGTTTGGTTGTGCTCTGTATGGCTTTATTGCTTTCCAAGTCAGTGATTTGTTGCCCAGCCAGCTATAACCACAAAAGAAAATGCATAGGAAGTTTATAGTAAAACAGGCAAAATTTTTTAACCAATGATGTGGAGAATCTCAAAAGGTGCAACTGTTTAGTGCTAGGGATCCTTCACAAGTATTTAGTGGTGATAATGTAAGTACATAATGAGATCTGTAGGTGGGCTCTGTGGTACTTAGTGGTTTTCCTTGTCTTACAAGATTGGTGTTTTTATATTTGCTTCAGTGTGCTAAAAAAACCATCTTGTTCACATAAAAATACCATTTTAATGAAAATTATTTCCCAAATATCAAATGTCTTCAGAACAGCAGCAGCATGATGTGAAGGCTGTGGCCTTGTGGAGCTGCTTCTTTAGCTGTGTCATATAAGCCTTATTTTGAACAGGATGACTTTTTAAAGGTGCAATCTAAGTAAATATCTGAGAGCCCAGTACAACCCTTTTAGTGACTTTGTTCAACATATATTTTCATTTAAAGAGAAATTAAATACATATTAGGGTTTCTTCTTAGTTGACTTATCAAGCACCTTTTGCAGCAGCAGAAATAGAGGTAATCTAGAGGTATCTACAGGTAACAAAGTTAAATTCAGTAAAATGCTGTAGCTTAAATGCTAATTTTTAGTAAATATATGCATACATTTTTTATTTTATAAAATACCATATTTCTCTTTTCATCCAACAGCTAAAACAATAATGGAGTTGGTGCCGTTATCCTTGGAGCAAGAGAGTAGCAAGTGAGTATTACAAATCTCAGTGGTAATGTATTTGACTTTAACAGAAGGCTTTTTTTTAAGTAATGTTAAAAGTCTACAGAATTCAGCATATAGTGCTTTTTGCTTCCAAATTATAACTAAAAAAGTCGGAATTATCTTTGTCAGTGTTTGTCTTCTTGTTGCATAAGCTGAAGATACTTCTGCCTCCTTTGGCTCTCTCAGCTTCTGAGTGCCAGGATGTGGCACTGGGCTTCCAGTTCACTTCAAAGGTTCTGTGCCAGGCAGAAACAGTGATTAGTGCTGTGGGGTTGTATTGGAGTGATGGGGCCTTCTGCTTCCCAGAAGTGTGGTGAGCCCTTCCAGTGAGGAGATGGAATTGTGTGAGGAATAGAGTGTAACTTCCTAAATTCCAAGGGCTGGAGCTGCCTCGTGCATGTCCAGTGAATGCTGCGTGCCAGGACTGTCTCTGTGACACAGAGCTGTCTGGGTCAGCTGTCACAAATCCCTGCTGGGGGAAGGTATTACAGTGGCTGGAACCTGCACTGCCAGTTATGTAATCCTGGAGTTTTATGTGGGGAAGCAGCTGAACTCTTTACTTGGGAGTGCAGTTTGCACTTACAAAAAAGAAAAGTTTTCAGTATGGTGTATGACAATAGATGGTATGAAACTCTGTACTTATTTGGATTTTTCTCCCTTTTTTATTTTCAGTGATCACTGTCACATTCAGAGTGTGGAAAGTGACGGTTCAATAATCTTTGCTGACCTTACTTCACAAGAAGAGAAGCCCTGTGACAGTACCAGTCTCAGAAATCTGGGGAGCGAATCGGTGCAAAATATAGACGAAAGGAATGATTTTACAAAGAGCAACAGTAAAGAGTCTGTGAAACCAAAGAAATGTGACTTTTCCATAGAATTACCAGAGGACTCTGTAAATAATGTTAGCAGTATGTCAAGTGATGTGAAAAATCATTCCACACGGGGACCTCATTCCAGTGTGGATCAAGACGCTGGCACGGAAAATCAGTCCTGCACTGAGGAATGCTCCAAGAATGATGTGGCTCTCTGTGGAGAGTTTGAGGTAAATACAGTTCTCTTTAAATATTCTTACCTGCTGTCTAATTAAGTGATGTTTGTAAAGCAGTTTGGTAGACAGTGGAATGATTTATAATGATAAATGTGAAAGAGTGAGAGCCAAAAGTTCAGTGGGTAACAAACACCACGACAAGGAAGCTGACCAGAGGAGCTGGCAAAACTCAGCATGTGTGAGAAAGTTTCCATGTGTTAGTCATCTTGAGTCATTTTAAAGTACCTACATGAATAAAAAAATACTACTGCTGCATAAAACAGCTCCATCAGACTTCAGCATTCAGCAGCAATGGCTCATGCAGATGTTATTGGTGGAAGTGTCTGTGTGCCATGTGGTGCCCATACAGTGTAGGGGTGCATGTGAAAAAGAGAAAAGCAGCTTTGGGCAGGGAATGGCCTGTGCTTATAAAACTCTGTTAGCATTTATACCATGCTGATCTGTTTTGTGTAACACAACCAGCTCTGGAATGTTTCAAGCTTCTGCTACAGTTTGGAGTTCCCTCTTGCAAGAAATCCAGTTTTAAAGGTGTCTGCTTGAGTTGTCCAGGTTATCAGATGAACTGGTACATTATCAGAAACTAAGCTACATATTCATGGTAAAGATGGTTGGACCAACCTAAACAATTCTATGATTTCATATCAAGAAGTTAATTGTTTGGGTATTTTTTTTTATTTTATAGTATTTTATACTATCAAGTTGGAATGAACCTCTCTTCAGTATATCTAGAAGTATTTAAACTCCAGTTTGAATATTAAAGTATGTATCTGGCAGTTTTGTTAGCTTTTATCATATAAAATTGTTAAAATTTGAGGAACAAAGAAAAAAAAAAACCCAGAACCAGACAGCATTGTTGCATCTGCTTCTTGAATGCAGTAGTTTAGTAATACTGTACTTGATGTCATTTCAGTGTCTGGTTCTTGAGGGGATTTTTAATAACTGTTTGGTTTATTAGCTTTAAAGACAATAACTAAGGAAATTCTGTTCATATTACAGTGGCAAAATCATGGCCCATTATTTTTCTCTTAGGTGGAGTATCATTTGATGCTTTATATACAAATGCAGTTGTGTGAACTGTCCTTGTGGGATTGGATTGTTGACCGTAATAAAAGATGCAACAAGAGAACAGAGGAAAATTCCAGTAAGATTCATCCCTGTCCTGAAAATTTACTTATTCATTGTAAAGCACATAATTACTTGGGGGTTTTTTGGTGGGTTTTTTTTGTCATTGGAAGTCCAGTTGCCTGATTTTATTTTACTTCAGCAGCTCATAATACAGATCTTCATCATGAGGTGCTTTAGTCAGTTAATCAAATAGCAGCTTGTATTGAATTTCTGTGTGATAGATGTTGGTAAAAGGATTTAAATTCCCGAGTTTTAGACAACTCTTCAAAAAAGCATGACTCTGTGCCTGAGGCATAGTTGTTATCTGGGGAGATCAGTGTCTGGGCAATACTCCTTTTTTTGGAATAGTTTTTTTTTATTGACAGAATCTACTCTTTTCTCAGCTGTTTTAAGGCTAATTTGTCTGCTGTGGATAATACAAATACGTTATTTGATCCTGACAGGTTACAACAAACTTAAAAGTTTGTTCCCAAGAATCAAAAATGCTATGCAGGCTAATTTGTAGTAGGTCTAAAGGCTCTCACATGTACTTTGGTTGAGTCCCAGGGGAGTTCTCAGGTCCTGATACCAAGCAGGCACCAATAACTGTTGACATTTGGAAGAACAAGTCTAATGCTCTTAAAGCATTAGAGACATGTTCCATTCCCTGGGGTGGCTGTATAAAAAAAGCACGTGTGTAACAGATTGTAAAACATGAAGTGCATGATTAATGTTTCATCTTAGTTTTAATCACTATTGAGATAAATCTGTTCTTCTCTTCAGTCATGGAGTCAGGTTTACCAGTGAACTATGGGCTGATTTCCACTAATCTCTCCTGTAGTCATAGGCTTTTAGCCTTTATGAGCTAAAAGATGATGTTCCTGATTAGGAAATGACAGAATTATTTAGGGCATTTGCCCTTGCAAAACACCATTTTCACACACTTTCATGGGTGACAGCAGAGGAAAAGTGAATGTTACCCCAGGTTAGACATGAAGAGACAGAAATCCAAGTGTGAGTAAATGGTGAGTGCTCAAAGGGGCAACAGACACGTTAGATGGGGGTCATCAGAGCAGGAAGACAACATAGTTTAATAAAACAGTAATGTGGGAAATGATAAAAACAATGAGATGCCAAGTTCATTAAGGACAGCTACAGCCAGAGGAGATTGGGAATTTCAGAGGGCAGCACAACAGCAGAAGGATTAGGATGCAAAAAGAAAATCCATATTTAAAATATGCTCATTCTGTTAAAAAATTATTCCACAGCATAAATAAACAGAGTTCAACAAGACATACCACCATAAACTTAGATAACAGGGTACAATTAGCTGAAATAATGTCAATTGTTTTAAGGTCCATACCAGCTCGTGGATGTCCCCTGGACAATGAAAATTTTTCAACAGTTAGTAGAAGGAGTTTGCTACATCCACAGCATGGGGGTGATGCATCGAGACATTAAAGTAAGTTCATGAAATTATTACTTGAGGCTGAAGAAAACAAAGGTAACTCACATTATGAGAGAGTGAAAGCAACTTCATATTGCATTGGACATGACCTGGGCTCTTAAGAATTTAGTTGTTACATATGGAAAAATACACTATCTCCTCTAAAGCAGTACCATACTCGATTACATTGACTTACAAGAGGATTATGATTAAAGTGTGGAAATGTCTGAAGTCCTGGTAGTTGTATAAAGAATTCCAGAATTCCATAGAGTTCCTGTGAGCCTGGTTTTGAGCCAGTGCTCATTGTTTTCACCACACATTCCCCTAATGGTGATTTTGCAGATACCTTGCAGAGACAGTAATTTCTGTGCTAATACTCCAGGAAAGTCTTTCAGCATGTGAGTTGCTGAGGACAGAGGTCCAGTGGATGGGTGTCCTGGATCATGTCTTTACTTCAGTGAATATGAGAAGCCCAGGAACTTGTTCAAAAGTACTGCATCTTTTAAATAGAAGAAATTGCATTGAAGAAGTGAAGAGTGGGGATTCTCATCTACTTTATACTCCAACAGAAGATCAGCTATTTCCTTTCTGCCCCCTGAGCAAGTGTCTTTCTTTCTAGATACCTCTCATCCCTAGTGGTCCTAAAGCCAAAATACATGAATAGAACTATTTCAGTTTTCCCTCTCAGAGCTCTCAAGTCTCTCATAATCTGGCTTTTTTTCATGGCAGCTTTCCAGAACCAAGCAGCACATTGCAGCTGTGCTTATCACACAGGAAAGTGTATTTTGTTTTACATCACGTCTAGCCCAGTGGTGTTTAGTCATCCTTCTGCTACATCACTGTCTAATTTCCTGTCTATTCTTGCCTGTTTCTGTTTGACTACTGTTCTGCAAATTTCCCATTTTTTGCTGGAGAAAAAAAAGTACTTTATCTCTCCAGTAAATCTTTGGGGTTTTCCTGTTTTGCTTTTTTTCCTTTTTTTTTTCTAGATCATTCTAGATCCATGGTCTTTCAGCCCAAATGGTGTTGCTAACACATAATTTGGTATAAGCAGTGACTATTTTTTCTCACTGCTCAAAGTGTTAAATAGTTATCTTGTACTTGTGAAACACTGGATTTTATAGACTTTGAAACAACTGAAATTTCATAATTCTTTATATAGATATATTTTTTAATTGTTCTCTGTCTTATTTTGTAGCCCAGAAATATCTTTCTACATGGATCAGATCATCAGGTAAAAATAGGTGACTTTGGATTAGCCTGCAGAGACCTCCTTTGGGATGATGCAGACCAGTGGTTTCAGACAGAAAGGGTAAATGGTAAGAGAAAAAAGGTTAATGAGCTTCAGTGTTTATATTAAAATCATTAAGTATTAAACTGTTAAGTGAAAGGGTAACAGCACTAGCTAAGTCTAAATTGACTTTTTTAAAGGACTGACACACACTTCAGGAGTGGGGACTTGCCTCTATGCCTCACCAGAACAACTGCAGGGATCTCACTATGATTTCAAGGTAGGGAGCTTTGGTTTTGTGGGTTTGTTTGGGTTTTTTCCTATTAACACATGATAGATAATTGGAATAAATCAAACCTTTCTGTAGGTAAATACATAGTATTTGGTAAATACATAAATATTCCTCCTACTGTTGCTAATGTTTTTGTTGAAACATGGATTTCTACATTGCCTTTTAGTTTACTATTAATGCAAAAATTGGTTTTTATATCATCATGAGAATATTTTATAGGTTTGAATTTGTGTTCCTTTAGTAGTATCACAATATTTTTCCTATCATCATCAAACTTCATTGTTGTGAAACTTTTTCACATCATGACTTTTTTATGAGGAAAATAGCAATTACTAGAGAACTTTCTCTTCACTCCGTTACCAGTCAGACATGTACAGCATGGGTGTTATCCTGCTAGAACTCTTCCAGCCATTTGGAACAGAAATGGAAAGAACAGTTGTTCTTACACATTTAAGGACTGGCCAAATTCCTCAGACTTTCTCCAAGCAGTGGCCCACTCAAGCCAAGTATGTGGAACTCCTCACCAGTCAGAGCTCCACAGACAGACCAACTGCTGCTCAGCTTCGGGACAGCGAACTGTTCCACACCACAGATCATGTAAGTGATGCCAGTAACCTCAGCCCTCACAGGGGAAAGGAAATGCCCTTTGTATCCTGCCTGGATACACTTGTTTGAACTTCAGTGTGTGTGATTGAGACTTTTCATGATTATTTAGGCCACTGTATTAATGTTTCTGGTGTCCTTGCAGTGAGAGAAATGGTTATTAACTGTCAGTAACTTTATGAAGACTAGACAGTTGAGATGTATTATTATAGGTCAGAAAAGCTTCAAAAGCTTTTCATTACATCTGCAGAATCGTTTTATCATTTTTCCATTTCCTTGTCCTACTACTTTGTGGACTAAGGTGTGGTATCAAGTGTGCAGAGTAGCTGTGGTGCTGCAGCACGTGGCTGTAGTGGATTGTAAATGCAATCCAAACAGATGAGGAAGGCTTTATCCTTGCCTGGCTCTAGCTGAAGTAAACTGGCTCTCATTTTCAGGTTATTTCTAACCTACAACAGAAGGTGCGACAGCAAGAGGAAGAAATAGAGAAGCTGAGGGAGAGAATAAGACTCCTTTCTGAAGAGCAAGATGAACACATGAGACTAGGCTCTCCTGTTTGAGTACAGGAAGAACTAATCTATTGTATATTGCTAAGTTAAATAAAATGTTTCTTTTTTACATAAAATATTTCAATGCATTTTCATTTTGCTGTCCTTTAAAGGTCTTCATCCTTCTGCCTTTGTTCACGAGGCTGTGGTCAGAGAAAGGATTCATGTTGCACAGGAGAAATTAAGAGCACAGCTTGTACTTACACAGGACTAATTTACATATCTTAAAATCATTTAAGATACACATGTTATGCATCAGGTACAAAAGAGGAAGGTCACACTCAAAAGGCAGCTGTAGTGTTTTTATTGACTTCAGAACATAAATACAGAGCCCAGAAAGGACTCACACACTACAGCAGGCCTGAGGTGGGACAAGATTAAAATGACACCCGTATGAGGAGCACAGGCTCACTTGAGCAGCTTCATCACAGAGCTGAAAGGTGCCAGGTTCTCACAGGACTTCATCCACTTCTGCACGTTGGCGGGGGCGGCGTTGGCAGTGCCCGTGTGCTGCAGGGCACACCAGGCCACCACGTCTGCCACCGACAGCTCGCTGCCCACCAGCCACGAGCTCCTGCCCAGGGCAGCGTTCATGGAGCGCAGCACCGCTCCCCTCTCCTTGCTGCTGCCTTCCTGCAGCTGGAAGATGGCTGTGTCCACCCAGCTGTCGATCAGCGTCGAGGTAACTGCGTTGTACTTGGGGCCAAACAGGGAAAAGAGGAAGCGAGCGATGTTCCCCTCTCCTTCGATCGGGCACATTGTTTGGATGCTGAACTTCATCTGGGGCTTTGGAACTGAAATTAACACAAGGAAAAAAAAGTTAAATAGAATGGCAATTCCATGAGGTATTTTACTTTTCACTGTTAACATCATGAGCCTGATGAACAATTTTCAGCCTTCCAGGATAAAGAGATCACTTCTTGAAAACTTGAGCCAAATCTCCCACTTAATTTCTATTCTAGCTACTTTATTTGTAGGAAGTGAAAAACCCAAAAATATCCTGTGGGTACAAACAACCCTGTCAATGCCATGTGCATATGAACAGCTGTAACTACAAACCAGAATCTTCCTCTGTGCCATCACTGTTCACAGCCAGGAAAAGAGAGCACTACATATATAGCACAATACATTGTATGCACTACATATCCACCTCGTGTCAGCACAAAGACACCAAGGCATCTGGTGGTGAGGTTTTACAGCACAAGTTTCATTTTCTCACCTACTGTAAAATATTGGTCTACAAATTTCATTCTTACCATCCTTCCAAATCAGAGTAAAGCCCAACTGATACTCGTGACGTGGCTGCTTCTTAGTCTGATCTCCAAAGCATTTCAGGAGGTTTTCTGGCACACTTTTCACTGATGAATGTGTGTGGACAGCTGATAATATTTTGTATCGTTCACAAAGCAGACTATGTAGCACTAACAAGGACAGTGGAGGTTGGGAAGGATTTGCATTGATGACAACATCTTTCAGGGCACCATAATCCTGAATGGAAAGTAAAACATTCAGCAAAACCACATTCCAGATCATACTTGTAAGTAGTGCTTTCATTTGACACCAAAATGTACATAACCATGCATGTGTATATCAAATTGTAATGATATTCAAGTAAATCAATTCAAGTTTGGACATTTAAAACTTCTTTGAACCTTTAAACATCTTTCTTCCTCAACACATAATTCAAGGACATGGCTGAGGTAAATTCTAGTCCAATCTAAGCCAAAGTTAAAACTCCCAGTTTAGTAACAAACAAGAAACCAGCCGTTGTAATGTCAAAACTAACAGTTCTAGTTTACAATTATATCCAAATGAGCATATATAGGATTAGTACTTCTAAATGTTTGTATCTATAATCTGGATGCCCAAAATGAAATGGTAGTTGTAGGTTATCTGAGTGTCCCAGGTTTTAATGCCAGCCTTCCAGCCCTGAAAACTGAGTGTTGAGAAGGTACCTAACGATGTACCTGCCCAACCAAACTTACCTTTCCAAGCATCAAATCTAAATCTGCTCCATTTGTTGTCAAAGGAGAGAATTCATCAGTTTGAATGATATTTGTTACATCAAAGTCAGCATCTGGGGTTTGTATCATCTTTGAGAGCCCATCCACAGCACTCTTCAGTTCATACAACCGTTTGAGAATCTCTTCCTGGCGGGACTCGAGTGCTTGAAGTGATGGGTCAACCTCTTCCTAGAGGAGAGAAAAAAACAAGGCCACGTAAATGTTCACTCAGCTCAGTGTCAAAATCATCCATGGCTCACTTGACAAGAAGTTTTGAAAGACTTCAAGCACATTCAAATAACCAGAACATTGCCAATGTCACGGGCTCGCATCTCTTTTCTTTTGTCAGTATGACTGTGGTATGATGGGTTATTTAATCAATCTCTGAAATCCTCCTGCTTAACATATTTTTAAAGCATTAGCTACAGCAAACTCCATAACATAGTAAAAATCAGACCACAAACACAGAACTTAAAAGCTGGCAGTGAAGTGCTCAATGAAAACTGAAAAAGGAAGTTTAAGTTAGCCTGTCAGGTTCTCTTCAGCCCAGAAGAGCAGATGGGTAAGTTTGTGCTCAGGCTGCCAAACAAGGAAACTTTTGACAATTCAGGCAGTTAATAAAAGTAAAAAACTCTGAATGGTGTATTGTATGAAATCACTTTATGTAGTCATTCTTTGTTTCAGAGAATATAGAGAAAAAAAGACCACGGGCTTTGTTACATATCAATACCAATACAGCTTATTGTTATCTCAATTACATTAGAAGCCTCTTACCTTACAACCTCCTTTAAAAGATGAAAAATGTATTCCTGTGGGAGGTTTTAAGTCTACAAACTTAGATTAACGTTCAAGAAAAATCTTTATATAATCCATTTCTAAGTGTCCTGAATAAGGATTACGAAACCCAACCTATAATGCAAACTACTACTTTCAGCCTAACAGATAGAGAGCAAATATGGTATCCAAGTAGAATCTTTATACCCACTTAACACAACAGTCTCAAAGACAGGATAAGGAAAGACCTCTTAAGTGACCATTATTTAACTAGTACACAATTTCCTGAAGTAAAAACCACTCTGAGAGGAGACAGGTAGGTAATAGTTTGC